TTGTTATTTGTATATAAACATGAAATCCATACATTTTTGCCAGCATAGTCTGAATATGCTCCGGTTAGATTTTCGTGAGAATCGGACCAGCCCTCTAGGAGGAGTTTGAAAAAAATAGGTGAAAAAATGGTTGACTTTGGCATAAATGGAATCGATATTCTCAGCATGACCCAATGAATATACAAAGACCAGTCTCATGACAATAGGCCAAATTCATCAAAAGCTAGTAGTATTTTTTAAGTTATAATTTTTGACTGTCCCAAAACTTTTTGAGTACCTTCAGCGGATGGTGCCGATGAGCCTTACCAAGTTGTGTAATGATACACCAATGCGTTCATAAATTCAAAGAAAAATTACAGACAAATTAAAAAAAATAAAAGACAAAAATCTAAATGATCGATGCACAGAATGGCTGACATAGGAAAATTGTTTGACTCAGAATGTCACACCGAATCTCAAGAGACCAGTCTTGGGATTTTTTTTTTGCCAAATGTTCGGAAGATATAATTTTTCATATCTCCTGACCACTAGGTGGCACTGTGTCAAACCTGTGCAGGTAGTCTCAGGTCGTGCTTGTCATAACACACACCAAGTTTGGTCTGAATATGCTAAAGCGTTGCAGAGATACTGCCCCACATCCATTGCGGCATGCTTTTCGTCAAACTCGTTCACGTGTTACACAAGAACGGTATGATGAATCAACTCAAATTCCATAACTTTTTGTCGACATGGTCTGAAGATGATTTAGTTCGATTTTTGTGAACATGAGGAGGAGTTTGTCTTGTCTTGAGCCAAGGAATCAGGAAAAGAAAAACAAAAAAAAATTTTGTTTCTAACCCTTGGTTCAAAAGTTATTAGTATAAACATGAGTGCAACTTTGGGCTGCTATAGACTCAAGAGCCATTGAGCTACAGTTCAGTTATCAACTATTCTCTTTTAGTATTTTTATTAGCACTAGTACTTACTTTTTAGTTACTTTAATTCAAATGATTTCTGTTATCTGTTTTCCTAGTTCTAGGCATAGACACTAATGCCTACAATACGTAACATTTTAAAAGTTAGTAAAAGGAAAATGTATTAGAAAAAGGTTCAGTTCAACGATTACTTAGGCGTGAATGAAACTGCAACTTGAATTGTTACTGGAAGCTTAAAAACTGGGATAATTACTAGTTTCGAACACCTAAGTACTACTACCAAATAAATAACACAGGATTAAACCAAACTGGAATAGACAATATAACTAACAATGGATACTGGTTAAAGGAATATGCTGAGGTATTAAAAATGGCTTAACAGATGAACAGAAATAAATAGTAAGTAACATTTCAAGAGCATCAAGCCGAATTGAAATCATGTCATTTTGAAATTGATAGCAACTGACGCAACAAAGGATTACGTACATTGTAAAGCGTGCCAGATTGAGTCATTATTTTTCAGATGAATAACATGTGAACCATAAAGTATTTGTAAGTATTTATTTATCGTTGTATATACCTTTAATACTGCTTAACGCTTTAGTGCACAATGTGCTCACTAGTCTACTGCCAATATTTGTAAAGCAGATTCCTATACAGCAAAAACACAGGCCTATATATTTTAATAAAATAAAATGGCCAAAATATAAGGTAAGATGGGAGAAGATGACCCTCTTAAGCACAGAGTGGATTTACTTTTAAATGGTAACATATTTAGATATACGTTTAGCATGTGCAGGATGATGATGCTGCATTATCTCATGAATTTATTATAGGAAATAAATAGAAATATTTGCTAATTTAGTTGTTACAGCACAAAATGTAAAATACTGTGGTAAGAAGCATGTAAGAAAGAAGGCATGTCTAATAAAATCATGAAACTTAAACAATTTAACTTCAATTTATTCAATGTTTAACAAAAATTACATGTTTAGGACCCTATGAAATTTTTTTTTTCTTCCAACCTTATGTTTTATTGTTACCAAATTCTGTTTTAGCATGTCTAATTATTTGAAAGCATAAAAACAAGTTTCATTTATTCTTAGAATTTCTGAGGAATAAAACTCATAAGGCTATTGTGTGTTGTGAATTTACATTTTATAAGGCATAAAACAGTCATTTAATTGATCTTTTAATTAATGAAAATCAAACTAATTGTATTGTATTTATTTGAAAATAAAGGGGATTTAATACTACAATTAAAACATTGAAGAAATATTGTATGATTATTCCTTAAAAATAAGGTTTTAATAATTTTAGTAGAAGTAGTAGCCTATTAAGTACATTCTACTGAAAAATAGTAATATATTTCTGCCGCAATGTCTTCAAGTTAAACCGAACTTTTATTTTGAAGGGTTGCCGTGAATACCTTTACATTTCTGTGTATATGATATGAGGCTGTTTTACTCAAATGAAACGGTCAAATGCTCATGTAGTGACTCTCAGAGCAGTTCTGGAGATGTTGTTCATGTTTGTATGTCCTCACACGTGCTTCAGTACCAGTAATAAAACCGTGCGTCTGCGCCATTCATTAACACAGAGACCCGCAGAATTCATATTTAAATAGTCGTTTTGCGGCTTAATATTTACAAATACTAGTGGGAGTGGGAGTGTGCTCACTTCTCTTTGTCTCTGTCTGTCTGTGTCTCTGTGTCTGTCTGTCTGTCTCTCTGTCTGTCTGTGTGTGTGTGTGTGTGTGTGTGTGTGTGCGGGCGGAACTCCGCCGTGCGCGATACAGAGAGCGCGACCATCTAACATAGAGACAGAAATGACACTCCGTCGTGTAAATAAAACTTAAGGCTATTTAGGTTGTTAAATAAAAGAACAAGGTATAGACCTGTTCTATAGGAAAGGTAACTTTAAATGACTTTTGTTGTGATCTGGCGCTATAGAGAAAATAATATTAACTTGACCTTCAAGGGGGGCGGGGGGCCTAATATAATGGCAGGGGAAGATCATTCTTATTAATTATTATGTATTTTTTTAAGTGTCTTTAATGTAAAATACTAAATCAACTATTCTATTTAAAATGTTATTTGGATGATATAATTGAATAATTGAATAACCGATGAGGAACAAAGCAGAATCCCAGTAAAAGAGATTCATCTGAAAGTTATCCTATGACATATATACAGGCATATGAATATTTACATATTGCTTATATTTTAATCGAAGATATGACATAATAACACTATGAAAGAAAATGTAATGGTTTCACTCAATTAACCTATAGGTTTTAATGAAAGTGAATATGTCTGTAATGTATGTCTAATTTACGTATATTAAATAATAACCCCATTAATTACAATAAGTATTACATTTAAACATAATTACACTAGTAAAAACATGCCACCTTCTGTGCAAATTCTGAAGGGCATCTTTGCCCAAGGGTCCAATTTTATAATTTTTTTTCTTCAAAATAAAAATTCTAACTTTCACTTCACAAATCTAAAAAAAAAAGAACTTTTTTTTTGTCCACGAATGACAAAAAAAACCAAAAAAACTTCCATATTCATCGTCATAGATTCAACTATTTTCCAGAGATAGTTCAATTAACATCAAAACCGTTTCAACTAACTCCATCTCACAAATGTTTATCTAACGAAATTAAATATAGCATAGGCATTCATCAAAAGTGCTGAGATGAAATTTTGTGCGATTTATGGGCATCATAAATAAAATAAGGTAAAACTTCGTATTACCCAACGTTGAAATTGAACAATTTTTTAACAACCATGCTTTTCGATATATATTTACAACATGGTTCAGGTATATTAACTGTAGATAAATATTTTGACATGTCACTCACAATGCGTAGTGCATGAGCGCCACTATCAACCAGTACTGATCAGTACAATATTACAAGTTTATTAACCCTTGTTCAGTGACATTAATGAGCCAAAACGTCCGGTGAGTGAGTATTTGTTTCCTACCATTGATTTTAGCTTGGTTGGCTTATTCCACAATCCTACGATGAAGGCAAGGAAGAGGGTCATTAAAATCATCGAAAGCGAGATTGTTGGTAGGCCAACCGCGACAACTGCGTGAAGTTCACATGTTCTCGTTATGTAATAGTCCTTGAAGTATATCATGGAGGTATATGGAATGCTATTGATTGCTCCAGCTCGATATTAATCCATAAGTGCACAATGCAGGCTTCTTCCTCTCGTCCTACGTGCGCGCACTGGTGAATCTGCTAGTGAAAACACAGACACACACACACCGCCCATGGAGCTCTTTCACTTTGACATGCGTCTCTTGCAAGCGCAGCGCCAGTGCTCTTCCTTCTGTGTAACTCGGCAACATGTTTGTTTGGGGTGTTAAACACACAGTAATCTCGGATCCACGAAGAAGCCAGTTCATGAATGCAGGAACAGAGGTTAGAAGTCCACTGACATAGGACCTTAAGATAAGGTTATTTAAGGACTTCTAACGAAGTCCTCTAGGTAAATTGCTAAATATGCACTCAAGTCATTTGTAGAAAAAAAATGAGCGAGAAATATTATTAAAATGATGCGCACCGACATGAGATGAAGACTCAAGTCATCAGTCTTGAAACTGAACTTGGAAAACCGTTTTATTTTGCTTAGAGCGGGTCGCCCCCTCATGGCCTCGGTCATGTTGACGTCACGTGACCAGCTGCGTGCGATGTTTACCATTTACTATTAATACAATTTAAAATAAAGTTTACTTGATTTTATTTTAGTCAATGCTGAAGCTGCTTTACAAAATCGAAACATAAAATTATCAGACAGTATATCAACAAAAATATACGGCGAGTCCAAATAAAAGAATGTCTATTATGTGGATGTGTAGGAGATGACCTAAAGAAAGGAACATATTTGGTGTGAAGCTGCAGCAGTTAGTTAACTAACTTAATGCATTCAGGGCTAATAGGTGTCAGTATTAAGTCCATCGACCTATCCCTATAGATGCCTAATCAGAGTGTATTGTAGCAAAATGTAGTTCAGTTTCCTTTAAAATCAATAAAATCAATAAATAAATAACAGCATCTAGTGCATAGGCATACTAAAAGCTGAGAAGCTGGGTCTGGTCTGCATTATTGTTATCTGAAGAGGCATACAAATCCCATTAAATAAATACAAAAAACAACAGACTTTTAAAAACATTTCTTCAGATATATTTAAAATTCAAAAAGGTGACAACGTCAGACATTTATGCACACATTCATATCAATGCAATGCAGAAAACCTTAGGTAAAAGGCCAAATATCTGACACGTTATTAGATGACACCTATATCTGAATTTCTGAATCCCATCTACAAATTGCATTTTTATTGGGTCTTTCCACTTGCTCCCAAACTCAGATTTGAGAGAGAGTCCTCCACCTCTGGGTTGTCTTCCTCCTCCTCATCGTCATCTTCATCTTCGTCCTCTTCATCATAATCATCGTCAAAGTCGTCATCCTCCTCGTCTTTGTAGCCCCCTCCAGATTCCTGATTTGTCCAATAGGAGCTGTATCCAGACGCACCATAATCATCTTCATCAGCGCCACTCTGCCGGCCAAATTTATGTGTTCGGGCTGCAAGAACATAAAACAATTTAAGTTTTTGTGTGTCATTTTGGTGCTACTGCATTTTTGTCATTTTTATTATACTGAATAAAATGTCTCAATTTAGATGTCACAAAATTCAGATTAGAAGAGACTAATAGTAGATGGCAGACAGCACTCACTGGACATGCTGAGATCTTTGGTCTCCTGAGTTTCATGTCCACACTTTGGGCACGGAGGAGCCTTGCCTTTCTCCTGCTTGAACACTTTGCTTCGAGCGTGATCGTCACAGAAACATGCCTACAAAAACATCATTTCACTCACAGTTTGTCCACACAATATACGTACACAAACAAATCAGACTGATGAAAATCCTAACCTTGCATCGGAGACAAGAATGCTGACCGAGACGATTACAAGATAAACCTGAAATTGGGGCAAAAGTCAATAAAGTTGAACGTCTTATTGTAAAGAATATTTAGAAAAACATTGGAAATCAGACAGACGTACATTTAAAAGTCTCTGCTTCCAGGACCTGACAGCTCGCCTGGTGTTCGAACTGATCATCCTCACACAGGAAGTTGTGGCAAAAAGAGCAGCGGAAAATGCGTCCACCTGTACATTATACAACAAACAGGATTTGATTGGTTTCTCCAACCATATTAAAGCAGTGCACAGCTGATTTAGAGTAAGGTAACCAGTGTTGGGAAAAGTAATGCTTACCAATATTGCGTTACTCCATAAAAATTACTTTTTATGGAAAGTAATGCATTACATTACTTTTGTGTTACTTTTTTGTCGACTGGGCTGGACTTGCTTATTTGTTTTTTACGGAGCCCTGCACATGACATGCAAGAAAAAATAAATAAATTGTGCGCATGATTTACTAATTCGTTCCCTCGATGTACTAAAATGTGCACACGATTACTATTTCTTTCCCTCGATGTACTAAATCGTGCACACGATTACTATTTCTTTCCCTCGATGTACTAAAACGTGCACACGATTACTATTTCGTTCCCTCGATGTACTAAAACGTGAAATTCGTAAATTCGTTCTCTCGATTTATAAATTTTGTGCAGGACTTAGCAAATCGAGGGAACGAAATAGTAAATCGTGCGCACAATTTAGCCTACAATTTTTTTCCTGCATGCCATGTGCGGGGCTCCATAGTTTTTTAATAACAAAAAACCCCAAAGTTATATTTTTGGCAACTGTAAGTGCCCTTTCACACTAAAAGTGAAATGAATAAGACTCAGGCTGAAGGAAGTACCTCTGAACCTCACTCCCGATTGAAGAGAGTTTTTGGGAAAACAAAGTAACGTGTGTCACTTATTTAAAAACGTAACTCAGATATTTTGTTGTAAATTTAAAAGGAATGCATTACTAGTTACTGGGAAAAAAGTAATCTGATTACAAAACTCGTGTTACTTGTAACTGATGGTAACTGTTTGTGCCGTAGCAGACATGAACGCTTGCTCTTTACCATGTTCCCAAACGCTGCGGTCACACTTAATGCAGTCTGCATCAGAAAGAGGGCAGGAGCAGGCATGGGTGCTCAAGCACTTCCTTCCATGGCAAACCCAGGCCTCACAGAAGTCACATATGGCCCCCTATAGGATACAAACACTACTGCATTAACAACAGAGTTTTCAGATTCTTCCAAAGCTCATTTAATAGTGATATGAGCGTCAGCACAATTCCAAGAGACTTCCATCTACAATAAGAGGAAACTAAAAGCTGACAGAGAGCTCATATTTATTGACCCCCAAAAGTATTGAGTTTCACTGCATTAGAAACAAAAAGTGAACTAAATTTTCCTAGAACTAACTTCACTTTTCTGAGCCATTTGTGCAAGGACTCATAATAACCAGTACAAATTTGGATTGTAAAAGAAACTAATTTAACCACAACTTTTTCCGAACGGTGTTTAAATCATGGGTGACATATCTGGTTAAGGGAACTTCCTCTAGCTGTGTCCTGTTTCCTTGTATTTTGCCGTATTAATATGAAAGACAAAAATGTTTACCTAAATCCTCACTCAGATCTCTTCCACAAAGCAGTTTAAAATTTAGTTTTCTTCCCTTTTTCACTTCCAATCCTTATTAGCTGATATTACTGGAATACTGATAATATTCAATATTATACATTTACATAATAATATAAAGCTGGGAAATACAACATTGATCTGTCAAAATGAGGGAAAGCACTTTGAAATATCCATAAATATTACCGTTAATAATGGAGCATTTTTAATCAGCACAACATACACGTTACTACATATTTATTTAAACAGTAATATTTAACACATCCATAATATTGCTACTGAAAGACTCATTCATTTGAGCTTTTAGGGTTGTTCATGGTCTCTGATAGTAATTTAACAGTAATTTAATTTAATAGTTAACACTTTTAAGTTTTGTTGTTCGATGGGTGAGGAGTGATGGAATAATGTCACCTCACTGTACCTAGAGTTTTTGGCAAATGATTAGTATTGCATTCTTAAAGTGAACCGTTAAACACATTTATTGGCAGTCGCTGACTGTTTAGTTTAACGGAAGATACTCCCATAATTTCCGCAAAACATCATGGGACGTAGGAAAAAGGTGAACTCTTAGCAACTACAGTCAGAACATAATGCGTGATGACAAACACAAATCATGTCTTTCATTCTAAAGAACATTTTAAATCACTGAAGAAGCTGAATATAAATCATATAAGAATATTACTTGGATTGGAATTGGAACTTGGAATTTTTTTGTGCATAAACCTAGAGAAAGCTATCTATTAGCATTCAGAGCTTTTCAAAGACGGTTGTTTGGCTTTCTGTCCAAAAACAGATATTTCTAGCATTACGGGTATAAAATGTAAGGCATTTGAGGACACTGATGGAGATGTTTGTACTTACCACCATGCCCATTCCAGTGCTGTGAACACCAGGATGTTTTATGACACAGTCTGAAGCCTTCATACATTTCGTTTTGCCTTGGAATAAAGACAAATAACAGAATAAATATATCAAATAGAAGACTAAAACTGCTTAATATTCTAGAAATGTACTACTTCTCTTTCTGTAGCCCACCAATTGTGATTTATCTCTGTCCAGCGTCTATTTATTTTATGATACACTGGGCCATTCACCTCCCTTTGCGTACTTAAGGGGATCATATTATATACATTTTTTTAAATCTGAGCTTTGCTTATAATGTCAGTACATTTTCCCCCGGTTTCACAGACAAGGCTTAAGCCTAGTCCCAGACTAAAATGTAAGTCTGAGCTGTTTCAACTGAAAGAAACTTGCACTGATTGATCTTAAAATATATCAATGCCTTTGTTTTGTCCCAAGAGGGACACCAGTAATGTTTTTGTAAGGCACATTTATAAAAAATTACTTAAATGTCCTAATTGAACTATGGCCTAATCCTGCCTTAGTCTAAGCCCTGTCTGTGAAACCAGGCCTTTATGTGCTGTGCTTTGAAGAAACGGCCCTTCGCCTGCAAACCGAGCAGCAGCGCTCTATTCCCGAGCGGCAGATTCGGTTGTATTGTTATCATTAGTCATTTGTGTGTTTAAGAGCAATGCGTTGTCTTTATCTGCTTTATTGGACAGGCCAAGTTTCAGAACACTGGACAGGCATCTAATATCAAACTGAGCAACAAGCAGACTCTCTCTGGGGAAAACAATGAGGGTCAGTTATTATAAGTGTGGAGGGCATGTTGGGGTTCAAGAGGAGGAAGTCTCACCACACTGTGCACACATGGGAAGTTTCTGCACTGAAGCACAGAAATAGCAGAACGCCCTGTTCTTTTGTCGCCTGCCAACAGATAATAATTCTATGAAATATTATGGAAAGGTAATGTAACAATTCTGAGTGCAAAATAAGTAAAATTACCTTTGACACATCACATTCCTAAAAAGTAAAAAAAAAAAGTTCAAGAAAAAGGTTAGGTCTGTGCATTAATGTACTAATTAGAAAAGCAGCTTGCAGCAAAACTGCAAAGAAAATGCCTAAATATTCCTATAGGTTTTGATAGAAATTCAAAAAGTATGTCTGGGTCATCTCGCAAAAGAACGAAGATATATTAAATATTATATATTTAATATTCTTCATATATATGTGAAGAGTTCAGATGCAAAAGCCTCTAAGTGCCATTTGAAATTTTCTTCTAAAATTTGCATTTTTATCAGGCTCCTATGTATAGGTTTAGGAATTTCACTTTAATGGCAATGAATAGGTTCTGAGCCTGAGAAAAATACGAATTTTAGAATTTCTACTTTATATAGTTTTTATATTCAGTTTTTAAAAGGAGAATAAGCACTGAACTTATTTGAAAGCCTTAAAAAAATTCTTATAAATAAATAAATATACACACATACATATATATATATATATACAGACATATTATATATAAGAAAGTGCCTAAGAAAATGCCTAAATATTCCGATAGGTTACATCCAAGTTTTGATAGAAATTTAAAAAGCATGTCTGGGTCATCTCGCAAAAGAACAAAGAAATATTAATTATTAATATTCAATTCAATTCAAGATTGCTTTATTGGCATGACTGTAAAAAATACAATATTGCCAAAGCTTTGAATACATGTGGAGGAACATAATAACAATAAGATCATCTAAATAATAGAAGAAAAAAAACATTATAACAACTTAAACTTAAATAAACAATGTAATAAAATAGAGCATGTGAACATTTGATACCGCAATGTTTAACATATAAACACATACATGCTGAGGATCCAGTAGGAAACACATTGAGGTCAGACATTTATATATATAAACATATATACATACATACACACATATATATATATATATATATATACAGTGGGTACGGAAAGTATTCAGACCCCCTTAAATTTTTCACTCTTTGTTATATTGCAGCCATTTGCTAAAATCATTTAAGTTAATCCAGGATCTCCGGCAGAAAAATAGGCCCACAACATTAAAGATCCAGCAGTATATTTCATTGTACACTTGGGGTACTTTTTTTTTTATCCCTGTGTGCACCAAACCCATCTTGAGTGTTTGCTGCTAAAAAGCCATTTTGTTTTAGTTTCATCTGACCATTGAACCCAGTCCCGTTTAAAGTTCTATTAAATAAATATGCTGGAGTTTGTTTTTGGATGAG